CAAACGAGGAAAGAGTGTTTCGCCTCTTCGAGCCAATGCCTCCACACCGTCAAAGCTCGGACAACAGCCAGCAGCTTCCGATCACCAACGCCGTAGTTCTGCTCCGCTGAGCTGAGCTTCTTCGAAAAGAAGGCACAGTCTGGGAAGGAGGTGAGGCCGCGGGGCGCTTCCCTACTCCACCTTTCTCGCTCGGTTCAGGGCGGTGTTCGATCATCCCATGGAAGGAAAGGACGGGGGTGAGCGTCTCCTCCGGCTACAACAGGGAGAGGGGGCTGCGTGCGAGTACACCCTGAGCTTTCGCACGGTGGTGGCGTCTTCCGGCTGGAATGAGCGTGCTCTGAGCACGGCCTTCAGGAGAGGCTTACGGGAGTACATCACGACGGAACTCGCATGTCAGGATGACGAGATGGACCTTGATACCCTCATCGCCACGTCCATTCGTCTTGACGACATGTTGAGAGACCGACGGCGTTCCCAACACCTCCCGGAGCCTCGACTCTCACCCCATCTGAGCTATGGAAGCCGCCCTGCCTCTGAATCCTCACCCATGGAGGTGGGTAGTACCCCCTAAACCACCAGAGCCACAGATCTCCTGGCGGCTCCCTATCTAGGCGGTATGACTCCCGTCGCCGCTCCGTGAGTGTTCCGTCATCACCTGTCACCAAACCATTGTTTTTAGTTCCCCTAACGGTGAATGGTTCTTCCTTCTCTTCGCTTTCCACGGCAATGATAGATTCCGGATCAGCGGTGAACCTTATAGATAGGGAGCTGGTCTCTGAATGGGGGTTGCCCACCGTGCCACTGCCTTCTCCACTACACATCACCTCGCTGGACAATAAACCACTTGGATCAGGCACCATTACGCACGTCACTCTCCCCATCATCACCGTTCCCACACTACCGGAGCACCACGAGGAGATGTCCTTCCACATTGTCACGTCACCCCTTCACCGGATCATATTGGGATTGCCCTGGCTCAGACTACACAACCCCACCATCAGTTGGATCACCAAGAGGATCACAGCCTGGTCCCCCTCATGCCGGAGGACCTGCCTGCCGGTGGTTTGTTGTTCCACGTCAGTGGAGAGTCCGGAGTCCGCCCTCCAGCCCAACATTCCCCGTGAGTATGCAGATCTCTCCGATGTCTTCTCTGCCTCCAAGGCTGTGTCTCCCTCCTCACAGGCCCTGGGACTGCGCCATTGACCTGCTGGAGGGACAACACCCCCCAAAGAGTCGCATTTACTCCCTCTCCATAGCGGAGGCCATGGAGAAGTATGTGGCGGAGACCCTGAAACAGGGGTTCATCAGACGCTCTACCTCTCCTGCCTCCGCCAGCTTCTTCTTCGTGGCCAAGAAAGACGGAGGACTGAGACCGTGCATTGACTACCGGGGGCTGAACGCAGTCACCACCAAGTACCGGTACCCCCTCCCTCTGGTTCCGTCTGCCATCGAGCAGCTGCGAGGGGCCCGGTACTTTACCAAGTTGGACCTGAGGAGTGCCTACAACCTGATCCGAATCGGGAAGGAGACGAGTGGAAGACGGCATTCAGCACTACCTCAGGCCACTATGAATACTGCGTCATGCCCTACGGCCTCGCCAACGCACCTTCCGTGTTCCAGTCCTTCGTCAATGACGCGCACCCTACATTCTCTCTCACAAAAATACTGGTGGCCCACCTTGGCTACAGATGTCTCCCACTATATCAACTCCTGTTCCGTATGTGCCCAATGAAGACACTTCGGAATGCCCCGGCAGGCAAACTAGTTCCTCTCCCAGTGCCTCAGCGACCTTGGTCACACCTGTCCATAGACTTTGTCACCGACCTCCCACATTCTGACGGCTTCACCACAGTCATGGTGGTCGTAGATCGGTTCTCCAAATCATGCCATTTTCTGCCACTAACTGGTATTCCTTCTGTTCTCCAGGTCACTGAGGTCCTGTTCCAACAGGTCTTCCTGCATTATGGACTTCCGGAGGACATCGTCTCGGACCGTCCCTTCCAGTGCGTCCTGGGGTACCAGCCGGCCCTGGTCACTTGGACACCCAGCCAGACCGATTCGCCCGCTGTCGACGAGTGGTTCCACAGGGCCGCCCATGTCCATCTCCAGAGGGCCATTTGTCGGCAGAAGGACCAAGCCAACCGCCACCGCAGTGAGGCCTGCGTATTCCAGCCTGGTGATCGTGTCTGGCTGTCCACAAAAAACCTCCATCTCCGCCTGCCCTGCAAGAAAATGAGGTATCGTACCGGCTGCTCCTTCCCCCTCACTACCGTGTCTCACCCACTTTTCATGTGTCTCTCCTCAGGCCGGTGGTTCCTGGTCCTCTGGCAGATGCCATCCACCGGGGTACGCCCCCTCCGCCCCTGGACATTGACGGGAGTCCGGCGTATGCGGTGAGGGTCCTGCTGGACTCCAGGTTCCATGGGGGATGATGGAGATTTTTTAGTGGACTATGAGATAAAACTGGGTTAATCACGAACATAGAGTTAGAGTTCTATGTTATTGGGACAGAAACTTAATTGGATCATTTCACTGTGTGTGGGGGGGTTTGTGTATGTTTAAAGGATTTAGGGACCTGTCATGTCCAACAATCAGTCTTCAGGTCAAGCCCGGGAGAGCCGGGGTTGAACAGAGTTTAAGCTAAACATGAGTGTTTTTGCAAGATAAGGGATTGATTGATGGTATTACTATTGATTCTGAACTGAATGAAAGTCGAATTTAGCCGCCATCATAGACAAAGGAAGTGGGCGGAGCGATAAAGAGCGGGAAACTGAAGCGGGAGGGATTTTGAGCAAGAGGAGATATGGATGGGATATATAACTGGGAAAGAGAGAGAGAGAAAAAGGGTGCCACTCTGCAGACCGGCATCGGCTTTGTTGAAACTCTAATAAAGTAATATCTTGATGCAACAAAAACTTTGATTTTCCACAACAGGGACGGCTCCGTTACCTGGTGGACTGGGAGGGGTATGGACCTGAGGAGAGGAGCTGGGTTCCGGCTGGGGACGTTCTGGACCCCAACCTAATTCGGGACTTCCACCATCGCCACCCTGACCGGCCAGCTCCTTATCCTCAGGGTCGTCCTCCTGGCTGGCGATGTCCTGCGGCGTGTCCGGGAGCCACGCGTCCGGGGGGGGGGGTACTGTCACGTCTCCTCCCGTTGCTCCCCTCCGGCGCTCTGATTCGCCGGTCTACTGAGCCACCAGTCTGAGCGCACCACCTCGGCAACACCGGAAGGAATGGTAACCCAACGCACCCTAATTACCTCCAGCGAACCTGCACCTCATCATCTCATCACCACCCCTATATAGCCCTGGAAGGTTCAGTGTTGGGTTGTGTGTGATTGTTAGTGTCTTGTCATGTACTCGCTCTTTGTTGTTCTCTTTCTGCGTCCTGCCTCTTCGTATCCTCAGTACTCATCACAATTATGTTCTGGCTTAGTGGGAATGCTCCTGTATAAAGTTTCTGTTGCAATCGAAAGATAAGGTTCCTCATGACAGAGAATTGCTGTCCTCCGGACAACACAATGATCCTAGCCCGTGGAGGGTGCTTTTGAGACCACATAAACCTTCATTGCAAAACAGGGTGGTTCAGTGTTTTAGTCAGAGATTTGGTAACAGTAAATTTAGTATAGTTTTATTTATGTTTTATCCTCATTTAAAACATTTTGCCAAATATATTCACCTGGTCCTAGCTGGACAAGCATCAATAGCTTTAAATAGACATATAATAACTTTAAATAGACATATAATGGAGATGATCAGTAGTTATTTGTGTTATCAACATTCTTATTGTGGTGGTGGTCATTCATGCATGCAAAGTAGGATCTGACTATGGAGCAAATCCTAACTTCCACTTTCAGGCTATGATGATGACTTGAGGACATTTTGTCTGCTGACAGGGACATTTAGGTTAGTCACTATGACATTTCCTTTCTTCATGGGACTCGTAGGTTGATGTGATGCAGCTGCTGAATGGCACACAGGCTATTTTTCCGTACCTATTCACAATCGTATGTATTTTGTTCTTGGTCATAGACTGAATGGTCGGTAAAAGAGTGTCATGCTTTTGTCCACATTGAACTGCCTTAATTTGAGCATGAAATTACATAATTTGCTGTACTTTTTTGTAAATGGTATCAGTGGTAGGATTCCAGGACAGTTGATTGTTTATGGCTGTGTCTAAGTAGCCTACAGTACCTGCACTTATGCATTGATGTCAATGGGAGTGAAAATGTGATTTAAAGGGGCAATCTGCGAATGGTTCATACATTTTTTGATTTTTAAATTAATTATATATAGGCCTTCCCATTGATTCTTAAAGAATAAAACATATAAATGCCTCATGAGCTTAGTTCAACTGTCGTACCCCGTCATATAGGCCTAAGCTTGTTTTACTTGTTTCACTCTATTGTTTGTAAACAATGTCATTGTGAACAAACACTAGCTGTATATAACCTCAAACAAGGTTAACACTGGTCAGTCCTTGCACCCAAAGATCTGTCTATGAATTTGAGAGTGCTTACATTTCTCCATCCCTATCCATCCCTCAGCTGTTTACCAAAACAGTGGCCAAGTGTCAGCTTTTTCTTTTGTTTTGTTTGAAACTCAGATTGACCCTTTAAACGGAAGTTAGGATTGCCCTTAACTTCCTGTTTCTCAGAATGTGGGCTAAAAGACTGCAAAGTGTTTACAGTTGTAGCAACAGGCCTACATTATGTGGTCTTGTAAGGCGTGGCAACTGTAGAGAAGTTTAGCCCACATTATGAGTAATAGACCATGGTAGGGACAAATATAGTCTATAGCCTATGCAAGACTGGATTTTCCTGCTGCAGTCATGCAGGGAATGGCATTGTCAACGCAACTGAGTAGTGTAGGTGGTACCATAACTGTATAAATTTGGATGCATTTCATGAAGAAATATTAGGCTACTTTATAGTCGTGTTCTGATATGGAGACGTGCGCGCTGAATAGCAATATCCCCCAAGACGCAGTAATTTCAATGGCGCAGCAAGAGTCCGTTCTTGTCTTGCTCAAACACTGTCAAGAGATGAGGCGACATGAGAGTCTCTTGCGTTTTTTCACGGTATTCTTGGTTATTGGTTGTGCAGCTGTATTTTTCTTTACGTACCATGTGATCAGAGACAGTAATCAGAAGGTAAGCATTGCAGGGGCATCCAGATGTTTTGACGGGGCACACAGATGCTTGGGTGCTTTGGCATTGGGTTTAAATTGAACTTTAATTCACTTCTGTCGGTCACCATTAATAGTTAACTTGTCTCTGTGTTTGTAGGATACATTTAATCCTGCAGAATACTCACGACAGCAAGGTAAATCTATTTCACTGGTATGATATGTGTTCCATATAGCACAGGCCTTGCTGACAGCAAGCATGCACTGATCATTATGTTTTCCTTTTCTTTCTACCAGATCGTCAAGGACAGAATCTGAAGAAGCCAAATGCTCACCTGACAAGTAGGTTAATTTAATCAAGCGTGTTTACATGCTGTTTGCATGTGAGTATTTGCAATTTAGCTACAATTTATTTATTGATGATTAGTACCAGTTCTTCTGTAATATAATTGTATTATCATGAAGATGTGCCTTTATGATGCCCTCATCTTGTAGAAACCACATGCTTTTTGGATATCACTGAGAAACCCATAATACATGGGAATGGTGTTATTCACTTGCCTAATCTAACTTCCTACTGAGTTTTCTAATATAGTGTGCCTACTGTGGGTCTGTGGTAATATTGTGTGAGAGCCTCTGTCAGGAATGTTGGATTTTTGTGTTTTTAATATTAAGTGTATATATTTATATTTTCTCTGATCCTCTCCATCTTCTCCTACCTCCAGCACCAACAAGCTGCAACAACTCAGTGCCTGCAGAATACATCCAATGGGATCACCAAGACACCGGCTTGGTGCACATGCAGGATTTCACCTATGACGAGAAGAAGCACGCTCTGGTTGTTCCTCGGGGAGGCCGATACTTTGTCTATGTGGGGATCAACTTTAGAATGCCGGATAAGGATGAGGTATCTAGAGAGGTCCAATTACTTAGCCTGAAAGTCCTGAAATACTCCAAGAGCTACGAAGATAATCGCCCTATCATGGAAGTAAGGGATAGTTTACCAGACGATGGGAGAAGAGAGACAAGGACAGTGTACACAGGACAGGTGGTCACTCTGGAGGAAGGGGACCTCCTGCGGGTGTCGATTTATGAAGACAATTATGAACTGATTGACTGTTCAGGAGAGACCACCATGTATTTTGGTGCTTTTCTCCTCTAGACAAGGAGAACGTGTCTATGCCAAAAATATGCAGTTTTTGTGGATTTTAATTTTTTTATTTCCATGCATACTTTTAGTAAGATCAGTGCATTTATGTCTCAAGGCACAATCCTTATGGGTTTGGGGATACAAAACACCTGTAACATGCAGGTATTAGTTTGTAAGGCTTTCCATCTGACAAAGCTGACCTATTTAAATGTTTTAATAAATGTATTAATACATTGATTTCATAGTATGTACCGTTTGCTACCCATCTCCCTTCTTGATCAAGATTAATTAAATTGTTGTTCAAGAATTGTTGTTAAATACCTTATTTTATAGAGTGTGGAGTGTAGTTCAAATCCTAACTTGATATACATGCACATGTCAAACCTTTGCCTAACTCTTGAATGCAAGTGTTGTGCAAGGGTCAAGGTAGGATTTGACCTGTAGGCTACGGCCACACAGAGACATATGAAGATGTATGAAAATGCATGGGCATCATCATTTTCTTTTTTTGGTCCATTCAAAGTTTAATTCCAGTCAACTATTGTTGAATACCCAATACGCACAAAGATTGATATACTGTGCGTTCTCTGTTGTCCATCACCTGTTAACGGATTACTCCCATAGAAAACCCATTGGCTGTAAGCAGTCTTACTTTGTCCATAGACTGCTTACAGGGTAAGGAAACCAATATATAATTTTTGTAATTGGGGTGAGGTATCCCTTTAAATATTTTATTTATATTTTTTATTTCACTTTTATTTAACCAGGTAAGCCAGTTGAGAACAAGTTCTCATTTACAACTGCGACCTGGCCAAGATAAAGCAAAGCAGTGCAATAAAAACAACAACACAGAGTTACATATGGGGTAAAAAAAAACATAAGGTCATAAAATACAACAGAAAATATATATACAGTGTGTGCAAATGTAGCAAGTTATGGAGGTAAGGCAATAAATAGGCTATAGTGCAAAATAATTACAATTAGTATTAACACTGGAATGCTAGATGTGCAAGAGATTATGTGCAAATAGAGATACTGGGGTGCAAAAGAGCAAAATAAATAACAATATAGGGATGAGGTATCCCTTTAAATATACTGTATGTTACCAAGTCAAAGTTTTATATAGACTTTTCAGTGAATAAAGTATTACATTTTTTTAAACAATCTTATTTGTAGTTTGGGATTCTTCCTTGAATGAAAAAAGAAACCAGAGGCAGAGCAGTGAACGTTGGATATATGACAACTAAACTATCCCTGTGCATGGAAGTCTAAGGATGAATCCTGACCTGAAAAAGTAGTGTCATCATCCCTGGAAGTTTTCAATTGCTAAGTCAGTGGAAGTGGTCACAATGTGTGTGTTTCTACACTGCAGTTATTCAATCCGCATCGTGGAAGTTCAGCTTTACAGCGTGATTGAAATGTAAAGGCAATGGTCCTGCTTTAGCGGAGACTACAGTCACGGTAAACACTGCATATGTCGGCTCAATCTGAAATTACCTTCACATTTCTTTAGTGATATCCAATTGGTAGTTACAGTCTTGTCCCATCACTGCAACTCCCGTACGGAGGCAAAGGTCGAGAGCCACACGTCCTCTAAAACACGACCCTGCCAAGCCGCACTGCTTCTTGACACACTGCTCGCTTAACCTGGAAGCCAGCCGCACCAATTTGTCGAAGGAAACACTGTATAACTGGCAACCGAAGTCAGCATGCATGCGCCCGGCCCGCCACAAGGAGTCGCTTGAGCACAATGGGACAAGGTCTCCCGGTCGCAGCCGACACAGCCTGGGATCAAACCCGGGTCTGTAGTGACGCCTCTAGCACTGCGATGCAGTGCCTTAGACCGCTGCGCCACTCGGGAGGCCCACCTTTACATTTCTATCGCGGAATCTGCAACTTTTCAGCTTCACGGATTGAATCGAGTCCTTACTCTGTCACCTCTAATCTTAAACATCATTAATCACTCCATATTGTTTACCCAAGTACTGGTCTCCTCACGGAAAAAACTAAATATACTCATGAGAATCATGTACTTCCTGAGCTTTAAACATGCAATCTGCAATTGCTGCAATAGCTACTTTTGAGTTTGTGAAATACAGTTAACTGTCAACATAAGGGAAACATCTGAGTAAATGAGGGAGACAAAGTACACTACAGTGCATTCAGAAAGTATTCAGATCCCTTGACTTTTTCCACATTTTGTTAGGTTACAGCCATATTCTAAAAATGATTCAATAGTTTTTTTCCCTCATCAATCTACACACAATACCCCACAATGACAAAGCAAGAACTGGTTTTTAGAAATGTTTGCAAATGTATAAAACAAAACAACCCGGAAATATCACATTTACATAAGTGTTCAGACCCTTTCCTCAGTACTTTGCTGAGGCAGCGATTACAGCCTCGAGTCTTCTTGGGTATGACACTACACGTTTGGCACACCTGTACTTGGGGAGTTTCTCCCATTCTTCTCTGCAGATCCTCTCAGGCTCTGTCAGGTTGGATGGGGAGCGTTGCTGCACAGCTATTTTCAGGTCTCTCCAGAGATGTTTGATCGGGTTCAAGTCCGGGCTCTGGCTGGGCTACTCAAGGACATTCAGAGACTTGTCCCGAAGCCACTCCTGCATTGTCTTGGCTGTGTGCTTAGGATTGTTGTCCTGTTGGAAGGTGAACTTTCGCCCCAGTCTGAGGTCCTGAGCACTCTGGACGAGCGGTTTGCTGATGTCAATGTTGTGAACAGAGTGCCCCATGGTGACGGTGGGGGTATGGGCAGGCATAAGCTATGGACAACGAACACAATTGCATTTTATCGATGGCAATTTGAATGCAAAGAGATACTGTGACGAGATCTTGAGGCCCATTGTTGTGCCATTCATCCGCAGCCATCACCTCATGTTTCAGCATGGTAACGCACGGCCATGTCGCAAGGATCTGTACACAATTCCTGGAAGCTGAAAATGTTCTTCCATGGCCTGCAAACTCACCAGACATGTCAGCCATTGAGCATGTTTGGGAAGCTCTGGATCGACGTGTACGATGCTCTAGATTTTCGTGTCCCACTCCATTGAAGAGGAGTGGGACAACATTCCACATGCCACAATCAACAGCCTGATCAACTCTATGCGAATGAGATGTGTTGTGCTGCATGAGTCAAATGGTGGTCACACCAGATACTGATCCATGCCCCTACCTTTTATTTTAAGGTATCTGTGAAATCCATAGATTAGGGCCTAATTTATTTATTTCAATTGACTAAGATTTCCTTATATGAACTATAACTCAGTAAAATCGTAGAAATTGTTGCATGTTACGTTTATATTTTTGTTCAGTATACATCTTCAGGACCAGTTGAAGTGGACAATGTCAGATGTGATTGTGATTAATGATCGTAGTGTGCTGGAAAAAATACTATTTTGTTTGTTTCATTATCTACTTCTTAGTTTTCCAGGGAAGTGACAGTTGGCCACATTCCTTTCCCACGGTTAAACAATTATATAAGTGAAAGGCTATAGTAAAGGAAGTTCCTTCAACTTAAAAATAGCCCAGTGTGGTTATTATAAGGTTGTGTGGGTGTGTATGTCTGCCTGTGTCTGTGTATACTCTACTACAGCGTGGAAAAGGGTGTTCCCCTCAGGTCTACACACTACAAACTAGGCACAGACTTCAGTTCAATGTCTTGTTTTGATTCACATTTGGTTGAGTTGTCAACTAACGTGAATTCAACGTGAAATCAACAAAATTACACATTACGTTGATTACTTCAACAAAATTACGAAATGCCTTTACGTTGATTACTTTTTGCAAATCCAATTAGTTTTCCACATTGATTTAACGTCATCACATTGATTTTTGGGGTTGAAATTAAGTGGACACAACGTTGATTCAACCAGTTTTTGCCCAGTGGGTAGTTCGCTACAGACAACTTTGTCATATTTTCATTAATAATTTTAGACATAACACTGTTTGATATTTGGACAGTTTTCACAACTTAAGGACCAGACAATAAAATAGGTTTAGAATATTAGAGGAAATGGAATGGATGTGAAGGCATTCAGTAGGAAAAAGAGTACGGGCTGTAGATAATGGATTCAGTCAGTGGACTCTGTAGTGTTTGGGCTTGGAGTCTTGGGTTGACATCATCACCATCAATGATAGGTAGAGAACCTGGGAAGAACCTTAGAGATACTAGATAGCTAGTAACACACAGTGTCGTGCAATGCGACATGCAGAGGAGGAATGTTAGTTTGGTCAGGTTTAAGTAGTGTGGCAGAGGTGAATAAGGAGAGAGAGGTGCTTGTTGAGTTGCTAGAGGAGCTGCACTCAAGGCAGCTAGTTGAAAGAGTTGCATTCAAGTCTGGTCCTCTCTCCTGAACTTCAGTTAATTCTTAACTCCATCAGAATGTCAGGAGCATCTTGTGATGATTAGTTTAATTGGGAAAGCCAGACTCGCAACCTTCTTCACAGCAGCACACGCTGTGAGTGACAGTTGGCTTAAGATCTCAGGGAAGTCGTGACGTTACCGATGTACTTCAGCCAACATGCTATGGTTTCACCTCCACTATATTAACCCCCCTTTGACCTCCTCCTATTCCTCTGAACCCAAGCAGCTGGGCAGAGCCATTGTAACAGAATGCATTCTATTCTGCGCAAAAAAATTATATACGAAAGAGGAATGGGATTTCAATATACTGTAGATTGGTAAAGAGGTCACATCTTTTGAAAGTGTGACACAATTTATCATCATACAGTGAGGGAAAAAGGTATTTGATCCCCTGCTGATTTTGTAAGTTTGCCCACTGAAAAAGAAATTATCACTCTATAATTTTAATGGTAGGTTTATTTGAACAGTGAGAGACAGAATAACAACAAAAGAATCCAGAAAAAACGCATGTCAAACATTTTATGAATTGATTTGAATTTTAATGAGGGAAATAAGTATTTGACCCCTCTGCAAAACATGACTTAGTACTTGGTGGCAAAACCCTTGTTGGCAATCACAGAGGTCAGATGTT